CTGTTTTCTTTTCAAGCTATAAAATTCTCTGGTATTATTTTGCTGTGCTTCACAATTTTGATAGAAATGTTTTTATTGTCCTGAGTTATAAATTTTTTCTTAATTTTTATTGTGATTCTCTAATTAACCACACTTAGTTTATCAGCATATGGAAAATGTAACATCTAAGTATTTAGGTTTTAAATACTTGCAATTTTGGCATGAGAATGTTTTGTCTGGTATGCATGATATTTATTCTTTGGAATTCTTTAAGACTTTAGTCTTCCTTCATAAATATTCGATGTGTTAGGTATATGGTATGTGTGAAAAGTGGATCAGCTTTGTATTTTTGATTACAGAGACCTTGTGTTTTTTTCCTAGCTGATAGCAGTATCTGAGAGGAGTGTGTTAAAATTTCCAATTACAATTGTTGAATTTTCTGTTTCTCCTCATAGTTCTATTTGTTCCTTGAGGCTGTATCATTTAGGTGTTTTCTTTCTTGTTTGATCATCTTGTCTTTTTATCAATATAAAATGACTGTCTCTCATGCAGATTATTTAAGATTATTGTCTTTCTTTGGTTCACATTTGCCTGGTATTTCTATCTTTTATTTTTTGTTCTATCTTTGTTTTGTTTTAAGCATGTTTCTTGTAGTAACATATTGTTGGATTTAAAATATACATTTGGAGAGTCACTGCTTTTTTAATTGGTGAGTTAAATCCATTTATATATATTGTAATTACTATTATGTTTGGATTTCTGTCATTTTATGTTTATTTAATGAATTTTGATACATGATTTTTTCTTTCCTGCTTTCTCTTCAAAAAAGCAAATGTTATTCTGCTATTTCCAATGACATATGTTCTGTTTTGTTTCTAAGTTTTCCCTTATTTGGGGATTTATAATCTCATTTATCTGTTGATTTCTTAAATTAAATAATTTATATTTCTCTCTCCACTGTCATCTCTCTCTGGGCTGTCCACCCCATCATGTTGACATTTTCCAGAATTTGGGTTTTGGATAATTTTGGTTGTGTTTTTACCTTTTCTTTTGCCCTAGAGTTTTAAAAAAAGACAACAATAGACATTATCAAGTTTGTTGAACATCTCATATTACTTTTCTTTGTGTGTTATCAATATAGTTATTTGTGTGCAAACCTGGGTATTTTATGTGTAATAATTTTTTTATGGCCTCACATCTGAATGTGAGATTGAATATATAATTCTATGTTCAAAATTTTTTGATACGTTAAATATATTATTTCAACATTGTGCATTCATTGATGCTATTAAGAACTCTGATGTCAGACTGGTGTTTTTTTTTTTGTGTGTGTGTGTGTTTTTTTTTTTGTTTTGTTTTATGTGATCTGCTCTTTCAGGTTTTCTTTTTTAAATTTGATACTAGAGGCCTGGTACACAAAAATTTGTGCACTTGGGGGGGGGGGGCCTCAGCCCAGCCTGCACCCTCTCACGGTCCGGGACCCCTCGGGGGATATCCAACTAATGGCTTAGGCCCGCTCCATGTGTGGCTTGAACGGGGAGAGGATGATAATTGGCAGCTGGGTGCAGATTTTGTAACATTACTTTGAGGTTTGTAGATAATTTTCACTTCTTAATTTCTACGGGCATTGGCTTTCTGTGTTCATGATATTTTGCGTGAACGTGAGTCCGCTGTTGCTATTTTCTGAAGACTCGTGATTTGTTTGGTTCTGCCAAGTGTGTTCTTCAAGGATTACCAAGATTGAGACATGGTTTCCATCCTCAAAAAATGCATAATAGAAATGGGGATTTAAAACCAGGTCAGGGAACTATTAGATGACAGTGAGATGCGAACTTGATTTCTACTTACAGTTGTAAGAAAGGAGAGAAGAGGCAGGAAAGGTAAAAAGTAGTGATTTGGTTTTGGGGAACTAAAGTTTCAGACATGCGCATGGGTATTTATTGTTGATGTGCTTGGTGTTGGTGTTCCCTTGAGTTCCACGATTCTCAGGTAAATAAGCTTATTCCTGAATAGTGAAGGCGAAAGGAATTTTGTGCCCTTTATTGCCCACAGAAAGTAGGGTGAGGTATCAGTTTGTGTAAACATATTCCCTTCTACCAGTATTGTTTTCACTTGAGGGTTCAGATCGCCACTGTATGGCAGGAAGGAAGACAGAAATTCTAATAGGATGGGATGCAATATGTTGAATGACAATTTATGCTGTGTCAGTTGGCTTGGGGAGAGGGTTGGAGGCAATGTGGATGAGCTGGGGTATCTGGTTGTAAACACAGTTCAGGTGTCTTTTGAAAGTAATATTAGACCCTGGCTCTCCAGTTCCCCACAGTTGCTTCTCATTGACAGGTTTCTCCCTGTGGGAGTGAATCAGGGTGTAAGCTGGTCCCAGGCCCTTGTTTGCTGCTTTTGCTCTGTCATGCCCTGCAGTCAGGGAATGGGGCCCAGAGAGCTGAGGGCTGGCATCCAGCCTCCGGAGCCAGCAAGCTGTGTGCGTCTGACTCATGTTAAGGTTATCCTGTCTGCTTCAGAGCTGAACCTATTTTGCTACTTCTAGCCAGGCCCTGAAGTGGGAGCTGTTGTGCAGGTAAATGTTCAGGAGTTTACTTCAGGCCCCATGCTGGGCTTCTGTTTGAAATGTTCTTAATTTTGAAGGCAGCCCTTATTCATGATGACTGAGGAACACTGGGGAGCGGCCTGACAGTCAAGGCCCTTATTCGTGGGCTCATTTGCAGAGAAGAGCAAGGTGGACTTGAGCTATTCAGGCACGAGGGAAGAAGTAGCCTGTGTTTGGGGGGGTCGGGGGGGGGGTGGTCCCAGGACAAAAATAAGTCAAAAGGAAGTCATAGTGTCTACACTGGGTTTCAGTTCTTTTGTCTTGAACTTGGCCCCTCTATGTGGGGCTGAATGACTCTGATTAGTTAAACACTTTTGTAGTGAAGGGCCGTAGAAAGGTGACTTCACTGAATGAGGAATCATGCCATAGACTATGTTGCACATTTGTGAATGGGGACAGAGTGAGGCTTTATGGGGCGACACAGACCAGGGAGAAGACCGGATCACAGACATCAGGTCATCTCACGCCCCACCACATCTTGCACCTTCCCCGACAGCACACTCATGAAAGAAAAGGTTCAGAAAACTCTTCTTTCCCAGAGCCTTCTTCACAGGATCATCCAGGTATCTTCCCATAACTGTCCCCATAAAGAATCCCTCCTTCCATCTTTTACCATCAGCTCTAAAGCCCCCCACTACAAATGCATTTAGCTAATTAGAGTCATTCAGCCCCAGAAGGGCCAAGTTTAAACCCAATGATAGGCCACTATGACTTCCTTTTGATTTATTTTTGTTCCGGGATACAGCCCACTAGGAAACGCAGGCTACTTCTTCCCTGGTGCCTGGATAGCTCAAGCCCATCCAGCTCTTTTCTGCAAATGAGCTCGATGTCCCTTTATCATCTACTTCCCTGAAATCAGCTTTTCTAGGTTTCCATTTCTAAGGTTCTCTCCCTTAGCCTTAGTTGCAAGCTGGGTCAGAGTTAAATAAGAATGATTTCATACAGTCAATTTTCAAGATTAGCATCTTGGGATCTAGCTTAATCAGAGCCCAGCATTTCTCATGTGCTTTCCTGTTCGTAGATGTGAAAGCTGTCTGAGATGGCTTTCTGAGAGCAAGTTCCTTGCTGCTCCTGGCATTCCTGCATGCTCCGTTTCGAGGATTTCGGGCTGAGGAGAAATGTAAGGTTTGATTGGCTAGAAGCTCTTTGTGCCTGATGGTGTGGGCTTCCACCTTATGTCTTACCTGCTTCCATGGTGCACTTTGTTGGCCAGCTATTGAGACCCATCACCTATAAAACAAATGCCAAACCTGGGCCATCTTAATAGAACATTGCTGCCTCTACGAGGCAGTGGAATGGTTAATATTTAGGGGAGTGTCAGTCTGGCTGAGGGGTTTTCAAGCCCTGATGGGTGCTGTTCAGGTGTGTCTGTAGTAGCTGGGATACTATGACAGCAAGAAGACCAGTTGAGGGAAACCACTGCTCTTAGGGGCCTCTCTTTTCCATCTTCTGTGTTTTCTACCATAATGTGTACAAATGATGCTAACCGTATTCCATAAAATGGTCCTCTGTGAATGAATGAATCATGCAACCCATTTTTGAAATGCTCTTTAGTTTTGGTTTGATGTCATCTTCTGGAGTCACTGCCTGGGCTCGATTCTTGTGTCACATCCTCCCTAATGTTCACAGGGAAATGGAATTTCTCTGTGTCTGGAATTTTAATAAGTTGGGCTATTAAATTGTAATCCAGCTCAGAAGACAAGGTCCCTTTAGAATTTTTTAATTTTTTAATTTATTAAGTGCTACGTGGTGACTGGCAATGACTTAAAGAACCATCAGGTGCCCTGGCCAGTGTGGCTCAGTTGAGAGATGACCTGTGCACCAAAAGGTTGCCGGTTCAATTCCCGGTCAGGGTATGTGCCCAAGTTGCCGGTTTGGTTCCTGGTTGGGGTGTAAACTGGAGGCAACTAATTGCTGTTTCTCTCTCACATCTATGCTTCTTTCTCCCTTCCTAACTCTAAAAAAAATCAATAAAAACATATATTTAAGAAGAACTATCAGGTGACTAGGAAGTGAGAGGTTGGACCTTGTGGGGCCAGTGTGCTGCCCTGACTTGTTGAGGTTACCCTTGTAATTTATAACAGTGCTCCTCAGAGATAAGGAAGTCATTGTGACCGCTATTGAGGCTTTCATCTTCCATTTGATCTGATTTTGATCATTGTGTTTTCTCCTGGGGAAAACACTCCGCACTGTGTATTATCTATGACGCATTTTAAGCATCTTTGATTGAAAAAGCAGACAACAAAATCTTTAAAGTCAGGACACCCAGTACTCTCAAGCTGCTTTGTAAATGTAATTTTGGATATAATTTGATTGACTAATCAGGTGCTGTGGTATAATTATTTGTGGAGTTGTTTTTTTACCCCCCTGAGTATTCATTTGAAAGTTGATGCCTTATTTTTCTCCTGCACAGGTGACAGCCCCAACCCTTCGAAGGAGGACACCCCCACCAGCAGTCTGGACTCACTTTCCTCCCCATCTCCCACGACTGCCACTGTCCAGGGGCTTCCTGGACCAGACAAAAACCACCTTGTCACTGACGGAGACTGGGCATCCGCGGCGTAAGTTTCACTGTGCTTCTTTGCTGTGACTTTTTTTTAAAATAATCTTTATTGTTGAAAGTATTACACATGCCCCCTTTTTTCCCTCTTTGACCTTTTGGTGCGACTTGTTTAGAAGCTTTCATGGCCAGTGGGTACTGAAGCTGTTAGATCTGAGAACCTTTGTTCTCTAGTCAGCGGGGCTGCCAAAGGGAGAAAGGTCCCCACAAAAGGCCTTTCCTGAGCAGTGTCTGTGTTTCGGGTATGGAAGGGGTGGGTATGGAAGGGGTGGGTATGGAAGGGGTGGGTATGGAAGGGGTGGGTATGGAAGGGGTGGGTATGGAAGGGGTGGATGGGTGCTGTTTCCCGTCTGTTTCAAGTTCAGCTCATGTCAGTTTTGGGTTGCACTAAGGAGCTTTGTTATTGTCCTCCTCGGGATGAGTTCCCACTGGTTATGCAAACTTCTGCAGATATGAGAATGCGTGCATTGTGATCGATAGACTGTTGAAGCTATTGGTAGAAGGATATTTTAGTTGTGTGGATTTTTGAGGGCTTTATAGCTAGCATTCTGCTCTATTTACTTCATGGTACCCTGCATAATTGACAGTTGATGGATGGAATATTTGATTTTATCTTCTCAGTTTGGTTTCATGCCAAACATGTACAGGTCAGCTTAGGGATATTAGGACAACCAACACCAATACAAACACAATTCCATGGACCTGGTTTGACTACATAAATGTCTGTCTTTTTGTGCTTACCAGGCTGTGGAGTGAATGAGGATTGCTGGTGTGGAGGGTCATCAAAAGAGCATCAAATTTCAAACAAATGCTCAGAAAGATAAAAAAGAACTCCGCTAATAATTCCATTCCTTACTTGAATATTCAATCAAATTGCACCCAAAATTCATTTTATAATTCAGACTGAGAGTATTAGGGTATCCTGTGTTTAAAGCTAAAAAAAACTTTTAGCCATGGCTGGTGGCTCAGCTAATTGGAGCATCATCCCATTTACCGGAAAGTTTCTGGTTGGATTCTTGGTCAGGGCGCATACCTAGGTTTCAGGTTCAGTCCCCAGTTGGGAGGCAGCCATTCGATGTTTCTCTCTCACATCATTGTTTCTTTCTCACCCCCATCCTCCACCCCCGTCTCTCTCTTGAATCAGTGAACATGTCCTCGAGTAAGGATAAAAAAATAAATTAATAAATAATAAAGGTTGCTTAAGATAACTCATAGATAACGATGTCATTAACCCTAGGCGGGCATTCTTGGGACTTTAAATGGAATTGGAAAGTGTGCGTCACATTACATGGCTTTTAATAGTTACTACTGGATTCATGTGAAATCATTAGGAACTTATTATGTATTAAAAGGGACTGGAGAAACTTGTTATGCTCAAGTTTGGGGTCATCTGAATACTTTGAAAAATCTAACTGAAAAGCAAAGTGAAACTCAAAGTAGGAATCACAGTCTCCAGATGAAATCCCCTCCAAAATCGTCATCTATGCATGCTGAAGACTGTGTGTTGTGGATTTAAATTAGATGTTACTCAAACCTGCTTGTCATTTTTACTGTCATTTTTCCTGAATGAATATATTTTTTTCTCTTTAGTAATCCTAGCAACAGTGACAGTGGGTACATAGGAACCTGGAATCTGTAATCCTGGGCACTCCCAGGTGGAATTCGTTGCACGTGTGTGGGTTTAAAGCAAAAACCAGATCTCTTAATTATTCCTTTCAGTGAGCATTTGCCACAGTCAGTGGAGTACAGTTTAGTCAGGCATCCTTCTTCCATTGTGATTCTGTAGAAAAGGGACAGGAGCCACAGTATAGCCGGTGCTCAATTCATAGCACGTCCATGCCTGAAACATGAAGAGCTTGATATTTTTGGTCATAAATCAAATGAGGAGTGAATTCCCCAGCTTCCCATTCACACCAATTTTAAAATGTCATGGAAAGCACTCCAACACAGAGGCCAAAAAGGAAGAGCGGAAAATAGAAGTTGAAGGAAGTCTGGAATCAAGAACTTGAATTTTTCTGTGCATTAGATAAAATAGACGCATATTTCTCTTAAATTTATAGAGTGTTTCTTGTCTATCTCTATTTAAATTACAGTTGAAAGTCAGTATTATTTTATAATAGTTCCAGGTGTACAGCATAGTGCTAAACAATCATATATTTTACGTAGTGATCCCCCTGATATTTCAGTACCCACCAGGCACCAAACAGAGTTATTACAATGTTATTGACTGTATTCCCTATGCTGTACTTTCCATCCCTGGGACTATTGTGTAACTACCAATCTGTACTTCTCAATCCCTTCAGCTTTCTCACCCAGTCCCCCCACCCCCAGGCAACCACCAGTCTGTTTGTATATTTCCTAAAGCATTTACTTGAAAGCATATTGCGGTCCAGATTTATAATGAAGTCATGGGTGTGACTTGAACTTGAGCTCATGTCAGGACCCCATTGAGGCCTTGTTAAGCCCACACTGCTGGGCCCCACCCCCGGGTGATGCTTAGGTTTGAGGGGGAGCCTGAAACTGCATTTCTAACCTAATCCTCCAGTGGCCCTTGTGTGCGTCACACATACTTTGATTCTCTCTGCCTGAAATGTCTCCCTTCCTTCTTTGCTCAAGACAAATCTGACCGATCTTCAGGGTCTAATTTTGTTTTCACCTTCAGGAAGCTTTCTCTAGCCCTCTTGTCTACAGGAAGATTCTAAATACTACTTTTATCTGTCTACACCCGTTACTTGACAATAGGAAAATATTCCTTCTAGTGTGAGTTAATATTTACCTTTTAGTGTTATTTGATAGTTACGTGTGTGTGTGTGTGTGTGTGTGTGTGTGTACCTGTATATCTATATCAAATCTCATTCTGCCTGCCTATCTATCTATTTTAGTCAATTCTGGCTGCTATAGCAAAAATACTTTGATTGAGTGGCTTGTAAACAACAGAAATTTATTTCCCGCAGCTGTGGAGGGTGGGTTGCCAGGTTCTGGTGAGAGCCCTCTTCCACAGACTGCTGGCTGCACGACTCTTAAAGGACACTAATCCCACTCGTGAGAGTTCCACTCTCATGACCTCATCTAATCCTGATCACCTCCCCAAAGGCCCTGTCTCCTCACCATCTCACGGTAGGGGGTAAGGTTTCAATCTAGAAGTCTTGTTTGTTTGTGTTTTTTTGGGGGGGGGGGGCACACAAACATTCAGTCCATAGCACTCTCTAATCTTTCCCTCATGCCAAGAAAGATTGTAAAGTTCTTAGTGATAGAAACTGGGGCTTATACTCTGAACATTTTAGTGATATTGATGTAGTTATCAAAACACATTTTATATCCCATCTTAATTATGATGTATTATTAAACAAAACTTTTCTTTTTGGAAATCTCATTTCTTTCTGCATATCACTAAATGTCTCTTAGGCAACTATGTTTGGTTTCTGATCCATATTCCTTTTTTCTAAACATCAAAACTCCTCTAGAAATTACCCAGTATTAATCTCACCATTTTCTCTTTATAACATTTTTCTTTGTTTTCCTTAGCTTTTGTAAATTTAGTTTTCATTGAGTGTGTAGTGGTCTTTTTTTAATCCATTATCTCTGCATACCACCGTACAATATGAAATATAGTTGGATCTGAGCAAATGCCGATTAAGATCCCTTTTAATAAACCCAATGTTGCTGTGGGGGCATTAAAACCCTGCTCAGGGCTTAAAAAGGAGGCAGTGCCTGGGCTGCCTGGTGTGACGCTCTGTTCCAAAATGTACACTTGCCTTATCTCAGGTCATGAAAAGTGGAGTCCAAAATGTTTGTGATCACACCTGGGACCCGGTAGCTCTGTTGCACAGAAACACCGTGACCCCAGCCACCAGAGAGCCAATTGGCAGAGGAAACCTATAGCAGCCGAGAAGCTGAAGTATAGGCTGTGCATAAACATAGCTGTGGCCTCTGACAGGTAGAAGACAGTGCAGCAGAATTGGATTTCTTGGGTTCTGCTGATGGTTATGACTTGCGGGTGTTATTCATTGCAGTCAATCAATCTGGAGCTATTACTTACCTGTACACTCAGCGAGGTGATAGGTGACTTCATGGCCAGTGAAGAATCGCTGGCTCAGTCTCCTTGGAGGACATTATTACATCATAGGTCAAGGTATTTCAGATGTTCCCAGGTCATTTTTCCCCCAATGAAGTAGTTCCCTCTGAACAGGTTTTCTTCCATTATAAGTGAAGGGGCAGGTCCTTGACAAGTAATCCTGTTAAGTTCCCTGCCACAGAAGCAAATCTCGTTTAAGTAACTTCGGGCATTGCTTTCAGCTGCCTCCACAGAGTTCCCAAGAGAAGCAAGACCGCCTTTTCTGCAGGCAGCTCCCATGCTTGGATGGCAGCATCTTGAGAAGCTCTTAGTTGCTGGAGATGTGGGTGCTCTGGGAAGCCAGGAGGGTGGCGGATTCCTCTCTCCCTGGATGAGAGGCTTGGCCTGGTTTATCCGGAATGTCCAGGTATTCCTGACGCATCTCTCCCGGGGGTGCCCTGATCTGCTTCTAGGCAGAGATGTCTGTCCACCCAGACTTGATGTTAGTTGCTTAAAATCCCATCCTCCTTGACAGCCGGTACCTGTCACCCCTGGACTGTGTGTGCAGGAAATAACCTGCTTCCTTAAGGCTGGGCAAACACAGAGCTTTCCCATAGACAGTGACTTGGCATTTCCCATCACTTGATGTTGCTTCCACGATTGCTTTTTAGGAAGTGGATGGATTTTCCCGGGAAATATCAAAGTGCCCCTTACACTTGATTTGTGGCTTAGTATTCTACAAGCCATGAATGATTTGTTTAAAGTTCAGAAAAAAATCATCTTAAATATTTTTTTAACATATCTGTGAAATCTGCCTCACAGCTAGAAATTTTAAGGTGGCAGCAGTGATAGGCAAACGTTGTGCTCACCTTGTTTTTGTTTCTTTCCCTTTTCCCTCCCCTCCCCCACTTCAGGGAGGGTGTCTCAGCCCATCCCTCCTCTACTTT